GTGTGTGTGTGTGTGTGTGTGTGTGTGTGTGTGTGTGTGTGTGTGTGTGTGCCCCCTTGTTTTTGCTACTTGGTGGGGACGATTTTTTGGGAAAATGCAGCCTTGTTGGGACTGAGTGCTCCTTGTGGGCACCAAAACCTGGTCCCCATGACTTCGGAGGCTGATTTTGGGTGGGTGGGGTGGGAAGGGGGTAGGTTTAGGACCAAGGTATGAACAGATTTTAGGTTAGTTTTAGGGTCATGTACCTGTGGGTTTAATTTTAGGGTAGTAAATGGTCAGGGTTAGGCTATAAAATTACCAGAAAATCCACAATCCACAGTCCCCACAGGGATATAAGAACAAAGCTGTGTGTTTGTGTGTGCTTCTGTGAAATGCACTCATGTTTAGTTTGCAACAGTTCTGAGACTTTGTCGTGTTTTCTCATGGTTGCTGTTGTATTTCTTCATCGGCCTTTTCATTCCCAGTTTGATGCACTCTGCGTACGCACACAAGACACTTTTCATTTATTTAAATTTAGCTGACGGCTTTATAAATATTAAGCGCAAACTAACAAACCATGATGTTTCAGCGCAGAATCAGCAAGCCTGTTGAAAGGACTTCAGCAGCTGCATCATTCAGCAACAAATAAAAATACAAATGATCCTTTTTTGATCATTGAGTCATTTATCATTCATAAACATTAAATGAATGGTTTTACTTGTAAATGCTGTTTGTTTGCAGAGTTTCAGATTGCATTTTTTTACAGAATGTTAAGCTTATTTTTTTTAAGTTTTTTTTTCACCAGTTTTGTAGCTTGGAAACACATCAGTGTTCATGAAAAGGATAATGGGATTTTGTCCTTTTTACTGTCTCGTTTTAAAGATTCTCAAAAACCTCGCAGCTGACCAGTTCTTTTTTACTCAAAGTGCTCTAAAGAGAAAGTGTTTTAGCTGTGTCTTATATAACAGCATGGTTTAATTAGACACGATGCTCTCTTCCTTCTGACAGTGATGCAGAGGCTAAAGGGCTTCGCATTCGACACAGAGGGGTCAAAGGGCCTTAGGTCAACATGGTCTACATTCCTGACCTTTGTTTGTCTTTAAAATGTGTTTGTGGATAAAAAGAATCTTCAGATCCTTAATCCTGCAGGTGTTTGTGCCTCGACATTTTAGGAAGTTGAAATTAATAAGCAGAAAACACGTTTGTCTTTATCTGGAAATAAAAGTTTAAAATGAAGTGCTTACATAAAGCTGTGACCTGTGTTTTTACTAACACTGTGGAAACTTTAACCAGGTCTTTTAATCAAATTTTGTGAGCCCTGCAGTGCCTCTGGAAATTAGGAGTAGTGGAGACATATAGGGTTTCTCTGCACACAGAGCTCCTGCAGTTCAGGGTTGACTTGTTTTTTTTTTAAGGTCTGTCTGCTATAAGCTGAGCTATACAGAGAGCTGTTTTTTTTAAAAAAGGGGTCCCTTAGGGGACGCTGGACTGTGAGGGAAATGCAGACAGAGGAAATCACACCCAGTTGTGCCCAAAAAAACCCATCTGGTTTCCTGAAAGCTGCAGACATTATGTTTGTAAAAGAGTGGGCACGCTTTTGGCAGCTTTGCGGTTGTTGCAAATGTTAGGATGGAGCGAGAGAAATTTAAACAGTAGTTAAAGAAAAAACACAGATGACTGAAAAAAACGTGTTAATCAAAACAAGGCAGCTGGCAGGTTTGAGTGTTTTGCTTTTTAACGCTTTTTATCTGAAACAAAGCACAAGTTTTAATGAACTTAAATTTAGCCTGTAGTGTTTTTTTAAGTAAACAAACCAAATAATAAAAAGTTTTTAAGAAATTTAGGAATTCACAACAATGGGAGCTTTGTATTTTTGACATATAATAAGTGACAGTGGCTGCTTTACAGCGAACATATTTCATCTAAACAAGATGACTTCCAGATGGAGGCAGACTTTACGCCCATTAACCAGAGCCAATCTGAAACTGCCTGTCAACTCTGACACTTGTAGAAACGAGCATGGCGACTTATAAAGACATGAAAGAGGAGCACTGACATGTAAGAAAAAAACTACTTAAAAGAGTTTTATGGTTTAAAACCCCCTCAAAGTTCAGAAGATGGGGAAGATTTACAGCAAGGAAGTGTAAAGAGAAAAGATGGTGTGCAACAGTGAAGATGTTTTTTTTTTAAAGAAAATGAACATTTTAATGTTAAGTAATAGATAGATATGTGTTTATTTAAACAACAACATCGGATCATACAGATAGGCAGTTCCTGCTGATTTCAAAATCATAAAATTTAATTTGCAGACTTTTATTTTGAATATTTCCTCTGCTGGCACAAATAAGACTCCATGCACATTTAATTTATTCTCACATTTCTGCTTTTCCCTTCCATTTCCGACACAGAGGAATGTGTTGATATTTTTGTTCATATCTCTCCAAGGAATGAAAACAACCAAAAGGTCAAATTCCACCAGAGGAATATCCATGTGAGCCACAATAAACTGTCCAGTTGTGAACTGGAGGGTCCTCTTTTATCACTCACACACTCACACACACAGACACACATGGCACACTAAGAGTCCACAGTCAGAAACTCAGTCTTCAGGCGGCTCAGTCTGGTCCCATGACTGCGGATGATGAGAGACAGCAGTTCATGTTTGTCCTTCAGACCCTGGGAGATGTCGGTGGTCTCCCTCAGCGCGCCCCGGATGTCGCCCACTTGCTTCAGCACGTAGCCGCTCAGCTGCTGTTCCTCCCTCAGCTCGGTCTCCTGGCTCTGTTTAAACTTCACCTCCAGCTCCACCAGGGACTTGTCCACGCTGGAGAAGGCCTCGCCGATCTGGGAGACCTCCCTGAGGAGGAACTTCCCGTAGCTGTCCTCTCCATCCAGGTCGTGCGCCACGGTGCGCCCGATGCTCTCCAGCAGCCGCGCCGCGTCCTCCGCCTGCAGTTTGGTGATGATGAAGTCGTCGCGCACCGCCGCGTCGCTGCCCTCCTCCTCTCCGGAGGCCGCGCACGGGAGCGCGTCGGAGAACCTGAAGAGCATCTGGCACTGCTCCGGGTCCACCGTCTCCTCGTAGTCCCCGTCCGGGACGAAGAAGTGGTGGAAGGTGCCGTTGGAGATCTCCGGTTGGAGGGGCCCGCTGTAGGCTGCCGAGCCCGCCGGTACCGATGAGAGCAGGAGGAGCAGCAGCGGGACGGGATCCATCATGTCAGCCCGAGCTGCATCTGGACTGGAAGCCGGATACAGCGCGCTGTTTTCATCCAGGCTCAAGTTACACAGCCCCCCACCCCCCACCCCACCACCATCCCCTCCCAAAGGCGCAGACTGCCAGTTTGACTTCGAGGGGCCCCTCATGGACCCTGCTCCTTGCCATGTGTGCAATAAAAAAATATTCAGCTTAAATCAGAAAACTGCCCATGTTTGGTGTAAAATGGGCCATAATATCTGTTTTGTTGTTTTGTTAACAATTTGTTCCAAAAAAATTGTATTGCAGTGTCTTGATGAATGGTCCAAATAAATAAATAAATAAATAAATAAATAAATAAATAAATAAATAAATAAATAAATAAGTTTTCAGTTTTGTCTTTTGGTGCATAAATAATCAACATTTTCAGAATATTTAGAAGTATGTTCTGTTGATGGTGATTATTTGCATTTACTGTATGAAGAACTGCTCCTTCCCTTTCTTTACTTTTGAAAATCATACATCATTGTTTTTGTGCTGACCTTAAGGGGGTCAAATTTAATTTGTTTCATAGTGTAAATTAAAACAAGTTTGTAAATTAAATGAATAAACAACATTCCTTTCAATATTTGACGTTTTCTTTTCACTGATATTTGTTGTTTCCAAATTAAAAACGCTAAAATTGCAACGATAGAAACAGTCTTTGCTTTCTCTGGAACAGGAGCATAATGTTCTTAAAAGATTAAGATGCATTTTATTTGGTAGCTCCAGATGGTGAGAGTGTAGTTAGAGCTCCTCCTGATGACTCCAGGCAGGTGATGTCATTAATTGGATGAAGGAGTCCTCTGGGCTACCGTCTCCTCTGCTGCACATCCTGTCTCAGACAATTATATCGTCTCAGGGTGGCCTCAGTTATGGCTGACTGTAAGCGATACATCAAAAAAACTGGAAACATATGGGGAATTTGAAATACATTATGGTTCTTTCCTCATTTTAATTCATCATGCAACGCCATAGAAATATAACACAACATCCTTTTTTAATTTAAAATGGATATTAAAGCTGTCAGTGATGATATCATAGTCTGCTCAGAGATTTGTTCACATTTTTCTTTTCTGAGCCCAACAATCAGAGCAGAGCAGCGGGATGAAAGCGGGGTTTAAAGGCTTTGTCAGGAGGGGGAAAACACGTCAGGGTTAGAGAGGCAGAGGAAACCTGAAGCGATCAGAAGGCTGGTAAAATATCTTAAAACCAGCTTCAAAAAACTGTTTGGAATGATTCTAATCAGGTATATGACGTTGAAGTAACTGAGCAGCTGTTCAGGTGATCATACTGGGGAGGAAATAAACACTGTTGGTATGAATATCTACATTTATGCTGATGACATCTAGCTGTATACTGCTCTTTTAAGAGTCAAAAGTCAGAATCAAAATTCAGTATCTGTTAGAAAAAGGTTCAAAACAACGTCATACAATCAAACCGACGAGACTGAAAATCTGACTGTTTCACTGATCAAGCAACAAATTAACCATTTAAGATCAGGGGTGGGCAATCCTGGTCTTCCAGGGTCACTATCCTGCAAGTTTTACTTTTTGTTCTCTGCTCCAACATGCCTGATTCAGTGACTGAATCACCTCTTCAAGTTCTGCAGAAATTTGGTAATCACACGTTCAGCAAAAGCAGGTGTGATGGAGAAGAGAAACAAGTAAAACATGCAGGTTAAAGACCCTCAAGGACCAGGGTTGCCCACATTTGACATAAATGACAAACTAGTGGTTCCAAAAGGTTTTTATCTTCTGAAATGTTTTTCATTTTTCAAATGAACAAGGTAGGCGTATTGTATTTTAATTTAAAAATGTAATGCCAGATCAATGTGTATATTTAAGAGAATGATAAAGATTAATTTGTTGGAGAAATATGTAATTG